TCTTCAGCCCCGAGCCCACTTCCTTAAACTACATTCTAAGGGGGGACTGCTGACCTCAGCCCCCGGGCGAGGAAATGGGCCTAACTCCATTCACTGATGAACCCTGAACCTCGGGCGGTATTCCTAAATCAGTCCCTAAAGTGTAGGAATGTTAATCAACTCCTCCCTAAGGCTTCTACCCTTGGATGAAAGAAGTGCGCGGGTAGAGCAAGAACTATGAGCGGGTAACCCGGAGATGAGAGTTGGCTATGAGCTAGACTAGAGGGGATTACCCTTTTTTTCTTCAACTATAGGGCATGCAATTCTCACTGCACCCCTTCTCCCATGCTGAGTCACAGGCAGCGCCTTGGAAAGCACGGGCGAGCCACATGCAGGGAAACTATATATATATACATATATATACATATATATATATATATATATATATATATATATGTATATATATATATGTATATATATATATATGTATATATACATATGTATATATATATATGTATATATATATATATATATATATATATATATATATATATATATATATATATATATATATATATATATATATATATAGGCGAGTTCAGGTGTGGCAGTATCTTACGGTGCGGCGATTTCTTACGGTGCGGCAACACCAATAGTTCAACAAATATGCACCATCAATGTTAGGAAAATACACCACACAAAACAGAGTAAACAGAGCCCTGCATCACCAAACACACACCATTAGGTGTGAGTAAAAACAACATACACTGTTCGGAAATACACCATTGGGGGTGGTGAGTTATATGGTGTATTTTTTGAGTCTGTTGTGTATTTTGTGATGTTTTATTGCATTTCACTGTGGTGTGTTTTTCTTACACTGTTGGTGTATTCTGGAATTCCGCCGCACGGGAAGACCCCGCCACATTTGAACTTTATATATATATATATATATATATATATATATATATATATATATATATATATATATATATATATATATATATATATATATAGGCTTCGAACCCGGTGCACCCCTCTAATAGATGAGACCATGAGGCCTCCTAATATCCACTGATTCAATTTCCATCAATGGTTGAGATTATAAGAAATTGGGGTAGTAATTAAGGACATTTACCAATGTAAAGGTTATATTAGTAATTGTAATTCTAATTTATTTATGGACATAATATTATTGGAATGTGAAACATTATTTTAGGGATTTGTGGATGGAAATTAATAGTTTCAATTATTACAAAGCTTGAAGAAGTGAACGTGGTGTGGACAATGCTAAAGGAGAAAATGAAGCGGTGGGAGGGCAGGAACTGTAAGATTTTCCCTAATAATATATATTATATATTATATATTAGGGCCTTAATTAAGTGGTACAAGTTAACTAGGCTTATGAAGTGGTCTGGTTGGACTTAATAACTAGTAGTTGTTAGTCAACCAAACTCTTGCCTAATATAAACTTGGATTGATGGGATACAAGTTTATGGATTAGTTAGCACATTCATTTACGGTACTCAGACTGCTCAGTAGATACCAATACACCATCTAGGGTTCTGAGTCAGGTCTGAGGCAAAACATAGCTAACGGTCTACCGTTGAGGCAACACAACAGGAACATCAATCATGACTGGAGATCAACACGGCTACGCTTCCGCTATCATACGAGGTTAGGTTTCTCATATACTATGGTTTATTATAGTTAGACTATTGTATATCTAACATTTGGTATCAGAGCCATTATAATCTCTGCCTGGTTGATTGTATTGTCTGCGAAAAATCAACATTAATTTCATATACATTGAGTTTTTTTTGTATATGGTTTGATTTTCAATTACATTTAAATTTTATATTCAAGATATGCATGGAGAAATATATCTATTCAATTTTTGATATAACCAAACATGTTTATTCTTTGAATTAATTGATTGTAATTGTTTTTGGATTATTGGAATTAATTTTTCCTCACTGCCTGAGTTCACCCAAGTAGAGTCTGGATTTATTTTCTCTGGTTGTTGTGACTCGCCGGCGATCACATAGGAGGTTTCAGGCAGTTGCCGGTGCGTAGTTTTTCCGGCGACTACCATTGAGCGGTACAGAAACGATGGCTACAGTTAAAAAAAAAAAAAACCTTCAGTTTTCCGGCGAGTTTTCCGGTTGCCATGGTGACGCTATTGAGCCAAGCGTGGTCGTCGCGACTTGGTGTCCAAGACGGCGGTGGCGAGGCTGACGTCGCGACCAGGAGAGACGACGACGACGAGGCTGGCTTTTCCGGCAACGTCCTGCTTCCTCCTCATTCAGGCGACGCTGGCGACGGCTTGTCGCTACCCCTCAAGCTCCAGTCGACGACGAGAGCATTCCGGTGGCTTCGCGGTGAGGACGGCGGCGGCTGTTGGCGCAGCGAAGAGGAGAAACGACGGCGGCGACGTCATTGCTCTCTCTCCTCCTCCAGGCGGCGCCCACTCCGGGCTGCTGTTCTCTCTCGTAGCTTATAAAGTCTCTCATGGCTGCTAGGGTTTGGCATGGCTGATTAGAGATGAAGAAGATGATGGATTATAGAATATGGGCCGGGTCTGGCCCATTTGGCCAGACCTGGATTATAATTTAAAAAAAAAAAAAAATTACTGGGCCTATTTAGTGTTTTGGGCTTGCTTCAGCTTTTATTCATCATATTAGGACTTCTTCTAGCTTAATTGTTCAATTTAATCCCTCCTTATTAAATTATCATTCAATTTTGGGCAAATATTAACTTTTAAATTTGCTATTTAAATTTTAATTTAATATTGAGGCTTATCTTAAATTGCCTGAAGTATTGCAATTTATTTAGAGTTTATGGGTTATTAATATATTAATGTGCAGATCCAAGCATGTTGCGTATATTTGTAATCGTTTTATTGTTATAATTATACATTTAGAAAAACATGCATTAAAGTTAGATTTAGTATATTATTAACTCATAAATTCTTTATTAAAATATCATTCAATTTTGGATCTTTAGACCAATTTTAGATATTATGGTCTATTAAGGTAGCTTATTTTTGTTTTCCATTAATTTTGAGCATATTTTAGTATTATGTGTCTCTGAGAATTTAGAACCTATTTTGATCAAGCTATTTGGGACCTATCTTGGGTCATTAAAGTATGGATCCCACCATTTTGATTGATATTTAAATAATAGTTGTAGCACTTTTATTTGATTATAACATGTTTATTAAGTTTTAATTATTACTAACTACCATATTTTGGTATTCATCGTTGATAATAATATTAAGTTTTGGGTCTATTTCAGTACTAGACCATTTATCATTCATGTTATAATTCACTTGGGCCATTGAGGTTTATGAGTCTAATTTGAGTGATTAAGTGCTATAATTATTGTGTTGATCTATTTTGAGACATTAAGGATTAAGGATTTAATTGTTATTTTGGCCATTAAGAATTACAAACTATTGTTTAAGTTGATTAATTTTTAATCTATCAATAGTTTCAGGGCCTTAATAATAATATTAAGTCTTTAATTTTATGGCAAAAGCAAAATAGTTGGTATGTTGTCTTATAATGGTAAACTAGTTTTCACACGCGCTTTGCGCGATTAGACCAATGCCCAATATGCATTTTTAAATTAGTGTTCCTTAATTGGTTAAAGTAGTCATATAATAATGAGAGAGAAAAATGCTAGTGTTATTGTTGAAGACTGCAGGGCCATGTTGGCCAGTTTAGTTAATTGCTCGTTATTTTTAATTTTTAATTCTTAGGCAGCTTAATGCCATTGCTCATTAATTTTTAATTCCTAGGCAGCTTAATGCCATTGCTCATTCTTTGGCTTCTAGAGCCGTTTCTCTTGTTGATACTACGGTATGGGACGCTATACTTTATTTTGAATCTTTTGCATTAATAATAGTCACCTTTTTGCTTCAAAAAAAAAAAATAATGAGAGAGAAAAATGTTAAAATCTCTTATTTTAATAAAAGATATAAAAATTGGTAATAACTAAATTAATTTTTCTTAGTGCACTTTTACTAAGGGTCGGAATTGTCTTCATCTCTGGTTGTGTCTTTACTGCATCTAGTTTATTGGTGGTAGTTAATGAGAATGATGCGTGCAATGATCATTATATTTAGACAAATGGCCAATGTGTATTTTTAAATTAGTGTTCCTTAATTAGTTAAAGTATTCATATAATAATCCGAGAGAGAAAAATGTTAAATTAATAAAAGATAAAAGAATTTGATGTCTTCCTTCACTTGAACTCTATTGTGCTTGATCTTAGGGTGATGAGAAAAGGGGATCGGATAAAGAAAAACAAAAGTCAACTGTATTAGTTGATGGATTATAGATTCTAATGTTTTTATGTAGAAAGTTCTGCATGCTTCATGCATATATGCCAGGCAGGCCAGCTGCTTAATTATTATCATATCGCTTGGTTGGAGGTGGTCAATAATAGCAGCTCAATTACCAGGAAGAACTGATAATGATATGATATCAAGAACTATTGGAACACCAAACTGAAGAAGAAGCTCATGTCAATGATGCTTCTTCCTCTTCATCTGCTTCTTCTTCCAAACACGGATCAGTCATATCATCATCCATGTCGCCACTGTTTTCTGCGCCCTAACTGCACCTTCTGTTCTTCTTCTCACACCACCTCAACAACAATCCTCGTTTTACACCCCACACAAAGTCATTTTCTGGGCTTGAATCCCCCTCCCTCCACCACCCAGATTTCGGGCATGATCACTGTAACAAGTCTCTCTATTCTTCTTTCAACTTCCAAATGAGCCATCAAGACCAGCAGGCCTTGCTGAACCACCCCCCCCCCCCCCTCGCACTAATGCAGCAATATCATCACCACCCAGCAGCTATGAATAAGGGTAATCATAATTTGCTGATGTTTGGGGGAAGTGAGGTCAGTGGATCCTCATCATCTGATGGGAGTTGCAGCCAAATCAGTTATGAGAAATCAAAAATTGCAAACCATGTCAAGCAAGAATCTGCAGATCATCAACTCCTGGGAAAATACAGTTTCCAAGGCGATCCTCATCATTAGATCATTTCTCCAACCAATGCTGGATTCGAAGATGAAAACCAGATTCAAGGCAACTTAGCATTTTAAATAATTGAAATTTCAGGAAATTTAACATATGGAACAAGATCAAAAGCTTAAGAAGGCATTACCTTTCTTTAAATCTGTTGTCCAGCATGTGAACTGAAAAGCTCCATGATCTCCTTCACTTCCAAGCCACCTACATCATGAACGTTTCAGTATTCCTCTTACCTAACATTAATTACCCATTTCGTTTAAAGTAAATCATCTATCAACCTTTCCCAAAACATTGGATTGAACACATACGCCCCTGAGTCCCCTGACTATCTGGATTTAATTTGAATAGCTCATTCAAAGCTAAATTAGCCATTTTAATATCACAATGCAGTCTGCAAAACTAAGCAAAGGTGCAAAATATAGAATTTAATTTGCCTATAGTATAAGTAACCTAAGCAAACATAACTGGCAAGCAACTTCAGAAATTTCAGTAGATTTCATCAATTTCGGTATATTTTGTTTGGGTACTACTCTGCCAATAACATGTAAATATATCACCTTTCATATGTAATAATTAATAAATAATAGAGAGAGAAAAAAAACACACACACACACACATATTAGCAAGTCAGTTGCTACATATATTTAATGAACACTGTGAATGCTCTCTTGAAGTAATATGCTATTTTATAATTGTTGAATCCTTGACCAGACATATCAATATTAAGTTTGCCTTCTTTATATACAGAAAATTCATCAAATGAGAGCAGTAACTTAGAATCTAGCATATGAAAATATATAGAAGTTTGGTCACGGTTTTTAAACTGATTTCCCTTCCTGACGGTTAATGTGCATTAAAAGTGAAATATCACTATAGGGACTATTACTGGAATCAGTTCAAGAAAAAAGTACATGCTAGTCAAGATGAGAACTAATACCATCTTGGATTAATCAGTAATTTGTTAAATTAAATCAAAATTTGTCACTGCACAACTCAACTTCAAATAAGCTAGTTAAAATAATACTTTATGGCACTTTGAACAATACCTCAAACTTTTGGAATTGCATTAGTGTAGGGAAAACCCATTTCCGTCTTCTCCCTTCACTGCACGAAAAATTAAGATACAATTAGGCACTTGAATCAGGCAACAACATAGAGACACATATACCATCATGACTCATTTTGGCAAATATTTGGCATACCAAGAATGCTTTTGTATAATGTAGTCAATGATTAAAAATAAAAAAGAGTTTATAGCATATGTTATATGTACACAAGGGACAATAGAAAGTCTCATCGCTTTAAAGGGGATAAATACAAAGGGTCTAAACTGATTGAGCAACGAGGAGTATCAGTTTAAAGAGGTTCTGGAACATAGCAAAATGCTATTCAGATCAGTAAGTTGTTTAGCCAACCTCACGTGAGCAAACAAGGCCTTTGCAATTATAACCAGCATGGATGCAAAGAGGAGGATATAGATATTGATCTTAGATTGTAACTCAGAAAAAAAATGCATTTCTAGGAGCAGGGCCACCAAAATCAGTATTATATTAGCATCGCACTCACCAAGGTGCATTTACATCACCACACTGCAACCTTGCTATGTCAGCACTCCATATCTTTAGGGTAAGGTCATCAGCAAGCCAATGAAATCACTGAACAATACAGTATGATACTCTTTAAAAATCCAACACACCACCCACACCCCCTAAAAAAAAAAGGAAAATTCTCAAATAGATGTACATAATCGTACATAATTGCATACCAGACGCAAAGAGACCAAATTGGCTTTCCTTTAGCTTTAGCTTTGATTCTCCTCACCAAGTAGTCGAGGACGGTTCTGCTTCTCCGAATGCTGCCTTGTGTTGCTGCATTAATTTGATTGCTATGTTTCTTCGCTGGTGTGTGATTCTCCCTAGTCACGGACGGCTATGCTTCTCCGAACTGCTGCCCTAATTTGTTTGCTATGCTTCTCTGCTGGATTCTCCTTAATCGCGGTCGGTGTGCTTCTCCTAATTGCCATTAAATTTCACGTAAACTTCATATTTGCCACCGCGCAACTTCCTTTGACTGAGCCGTTAAATTTAACCGTGTAAGTATGGTAAAATTAAGAAGAATGAGGTTATATTAGGATTTTAAGTTGGCATTGTACAATTTAAAAAGCGTAAAGTACAATTTTTTAGAGCATATGTTGTATCGACATTTTTTAGTTCCCGTTAAGGGTCTAACAATATTCGCTCTTATATTAAAGTTGTAGATTTGGTTATTATCTTAACTTTAGTCTCCCTAAGTATCATACTAGTCATGGTTAATTATTATGTGGTAAATTGAGATTAGTATTTGGCATCCCTTAATTACAGTTTTGCCTTTATTATAATTATTATTAATTAGCATTATTATTTACTGTTATTAAGTTTAGGGGCTAATCTCATTTTATTACTTTTCATAATAATTATCATTTAATTGTAATTTGCTATATTTGGTACATTGGCATGATTACCACTTCATTTTACATGACTATTAATGTTGGTAATTAAGTCCTACCAATACATTTTTTTAAATGTACCATTGGACGCTGCATCGAGGCTACTGACACCGACAGTGAAGATGGGAGAATTCTGGAGTTTTTCTTCGGATCATCATCGTTGTTAGCGCAATAGAGAGATGCAATTTGCATCATTAAGGTTAGCCATTAATTATCTTTTATGGTTATTATTGATAATTAGTGCTATAGTTACACTTAACCGCTAATTTGGACTAGTCACATATTTTATCTTTAGAAAAATGAAAACATTAAAAGTGCATTACCATACTTTAGTTTGTCATTACTAATGTTAATAGTTATTATAATGTTACTTATTACTATTAATAATTAATTAATGATTAATGATGACATTAATATTCTTATGGTATTCAGTTATGCACCTTGAACTGTTTCCAAATAAATTTATGTGACAATAATCCAGTTAAGAAAATATTTTTTTTGACATTAATGTTTTTCGGACTTCAAATTTTATTAAGTTTTCAAAATTTTATCCGAAAACATTTATAAGTGTTAGCGGTTTTAACCATTGTTTTTTCATATTTAGTCTCCTACTTAATGTGATAATATTATTATGGCTATTTATTACTATTTTGGTTATTTGCAATTTTGCCATTAATAATAACTAGTATCCCACCCGTGCGATGCACGGCTAAAATATATATATATATATATATATATATATATATATATATATATATATATATATATATATATATATATATATATTAGTTTATTAATAATAGCATGGTTGCAGTAGGCGTTGGGCGCTAGTCGGGCGCCTAGGCGGAATCTAGGCGGCGCTAGGCGGTCACGAAAAAAACAGTAGCAGACTTGCAATTTGACAATTTTAATGCGGCTGTTTTCAACATTCAATCAAATAACACATCCAAATAAATGACATAATGACAATTCATAAGTCATAACATCAAAAGAATATTAAAAAAATAAAAACTCAAATGAAATACCCAAATACTTCAATCATCCAAAGATTGAAAGTATCAAACTAGTCTACAAGTGTATATATGTCATATTATATGTATTTGTCATATAAATAGAAAAAATTAGCAAGGTCGAGTTGGTCGGGTTAACTCGACTAACTCGACAGAAATTGACGAGTTAACTCGGCGTAATCGGACGAGTTAGGCGCTAGGCGGCTGAATTAGGCGCTAGGCGGGCGCCTAGGCGGCCGGTCTCCTAGGCGGGAGCCTAGGGCGGAAATCGCCACGGCCTATGGGCGCCTAGGCGCCGATTACTCGGTGCCTAGGCGGGATTTTTACAACTCTGAATAATAGTAATATAAAAATTATATTGGCATCTCGAAAAGTATGTAAAATATAACTTCATATTGCATAGGTAACAAATAATTAATAATATACAAATTTTATAAATTGTTAAAGACCTTTTTGTATACAACATTCGACGTTGAAGAAACATACTCTCCATTGTCGCTACAAATAAGTAACTTAAGACCATTCGGATTACTAACCCTAGACAAAGCAACATATAATTGCCCGTGAACAAAGACTGGTTTTTTCAACAAAAGTCCAACTGTAGATAATGTTTGACCTTGACTCTTGTTTATTGTAATAGCATAAGAAAACATAAGTGGGAATTGCCTTCGTTGGAATTTAAATGGTAGCCTAGTATCTGATGGTGTAAGAGACAATCGTGGAATCAAGACTTGTTCACCTGCATTACTACCAAAAAGAATCTTGGCTTGAACAACATGATCTGCCAATTCAGAAATAATTAATCTTGTCCCATTGCAAAGGCCAGCTGAATGGTCTATGTTTCGCAGTAGCATGACTGGAGATCCAACTTTAAGAGTGCGCGAATGGTTTGGCAATCCCGAGCATTTCAGGACATTTAACAATTTTGGAGTATGCAATGCAGCTACCGTATCGGACGTGTTTTCAGTGGGGCATACCGAATCGGAGCTAAGATAGGTTCTAGATGTAGCATCATTCAAAGTACTCATGTAGTCATTAACTTCATCAACAACCTCGAGTGTTGGCGCTAAAATTGCTCGACCAATTAGATAATCCCCGTTGTTTTGATTTTCTTGAAACATAGGGAATGTACTTTTAACAATAGCTTTAATAGGATCACAATCTGGTTTAAGCACATGTTTTTTGGGAATTTGGACATCCACATGACCATCATTTGTGCCACCGATGTCGCCATCACCAATTGCAACTATCCAATTAGCAAATGAACTAAGCTCTTCCATATCCTAAACAGAACCCACATTTTGCAACCTCAAATTCTTTGTCAATCTCAATACCCTACAATTAGCCCACAAATAAGAAGAATTAATGGTTGCACCAACAATTTCTTGCCTAGAACACTTTGGTAGCACCGGTAATAGTTGTCTAAAGCCACCTCCTAAAACAACTGTTTTCCCGCCGAACGGCAACGATGAACTCAATGGATTAACAAATCTCACATTGTCCTGTCTAAAGCTTCGAAGCAATGTTTATGCATCATAGGTGCTTCATCCCAAATAATCAAGTTACATTGAATGAGTAGCTCAGCAAGATCGGATCCCTGTGAAATATTGCAAGTAGAGTCCTCATTCACAACAACTGGTATAGAAAAGCGTGAATGTGTAGTACGACCTCCGGGCATCAACAACGAAGCAATGCCGCTTGATGCAACATTCAGAACGATCTTTCGTTCAGAGCGCAAAGCAGCTGATAAAGTTTGCCACACAAATGTTTTCCCAGTACCACCGTAACCGTAGACAAAAAAAACCCCCCTGTAGCATTACCAGTCGACGATAGAACAGTGTCATAAACAAAGCGTTGCTTGACTGTCAACCGCTGGACTAAAATTTCATGTTCCTTGGCTAACAATGCATAATCATAAGACAATTCTTCAGCCAATAATCGGTTTTGAGAAACGTACAAAGAAGTCATGTCTGGCACATGCATACATGGATAATCACTCAAACTCTTGCTCCATGTTGACAAAAGTTTCTCTAACTCTATCCAGCCATACATTTTCTTCTCTTTTTCCGGCAACATTAAGTCTGCACATCATTTACATTTTTTTACATTTACAATAATTACTATTACTATATAACTTTATAAGCTGAAAATTGCAAAATAATATATATATATATATATATATATATATATATATATATATATATATATATATATATATATATATATATATATATATATATATATATATATATATATATATATATAACAACATTTTACATGGATTAGCAAATGATTTACGTTGATTATACTCGGCATCCTCACATAGATGCGGCCAAACAACATCCTATACTTTTTCAGGTTGACAAAGTGAATTTGCCGTTAGTAAAGTTACAAATAATCTCCTAAGAGCACCAGCAGTCGACCATTGACTTGCTTCAACTATCGCATCAATATATTCTTTTTCATCACAAATCAATCCACGAGCGTAGCATGCATCTCGAAATGACGAATATTCAATACCATCAACAGTTCGTATGTCTTGAAAAGATGTTGGACCATGAACTAAATTTAACAAACATCTAAGATAAAAAATCTCCCCACTACCTGGTGGGACATAAAACATACGACCAATAGAAAATCCCCATTTCTTGGATGCCACTCGCGGATATCCTTTTTCCAAACAAAAGCATTAGGCATTTCCCTATAACTCAACGCTCGAGCAGAAGGATACCTCTTATTTGCTTCAAACCATGATAAGAACATGCTATATCTAACCGTTTGCCTTTCAACAACTGTTTCAACCGAAACCTCATCATTGAAAACAATGCTCTGTTCATTAGGCAAGTGGAAGCTAAGACGTTCAACTGCTGGATTACGAAACTGCACATCATAGCTAAACAAACGCCATGCAGCTTCGCATGGAGAAATATACCGACAATCATAATACATACTGATTTCATCTATAACTTCACTACTTCCTCGGCATTCGGTACTCCTATAAAATTGCGCAGTAACTCGATCATGACCTTTGTTCACATATTTAAACAAATATTTGATAGACCGAGATTGGTTACACCATTCTACATTGATGTGTGCTCTATACTTCATCAATAAATATCTATTGTGAGACACAACAAACCTATTATCCAATTCAACACCACTCTTAACAATTGTATTACCATTATTTCTACGCTTATAAATGGGATACCCATCAGAATCAAGAATTGAACAATCCATAAATTTTTTAGGAAAGTGTTTTGAGCAGCGCCCCTTAACCATACATGAAGAGTTTTTCCTAGCCACACCACATGGACCATGCATCATAAACTATCCAACAACTGTATAATACTCAGGATCGCTCTCTTTATTAGGAATCTCGGCAGATATAATGGAATCAACATTGGAACCAAATGTAAGAGCAACACCATGATCAACGAACAGAAGAATATGTGCATGTGGCAATCCCCGTTTTTGAATTACTGGAAAGAAATTAATACACATAAGTAAAGCAATCAAAGCGTTGAATTAAAAAAAATGTAAACTTAACTTGAAGCACACATACCAGCGACAATTTTCCCAAAGACAGTGCCAGATCGTATCTCTTTAATCAAAGCCTCCAATTTCATTTTAAACACACGGCACAAAATATCAAGTCGATCTTCAGATTTTAAGCCTCTACATTGCAAAAAATGTTGAATTTCTGGCCATTTTGGATTGCATGTAAAAGTGATAAAAATATTTGGATAACCAATCCAACCACAAATTGCCATTGCATCTTGGTAGTTTTGAACCATATATTGTGCTCCACCAGTAAAAGTTGATGGCAATACAATTCGTCGACCTTGAGTCCGGGGGTCAACTTCTCCACGTGTCAAAGCATCAAACAATCCTTTATATGAACCACATCGTAGACTCTGTTGGTGTATGCGAATATACAACAACCGAGCAGATTCAACCATCGTATACCCATCGACCAAAAATTGTTGAAATAACCTTCTAGCATACAAAAATGTTGAGATCTCATTAAGTCTTTCATGAACACCAAAGGATAGGTATTCACGAAGAGAAACACTGTGCCTAGCACCTTTCTCCACATTTCTTTCTACATGGAAAGGAATGTCCTCTCTATAACCATCTTCACCATATGGGAACAACATTGGATATTGAAGTGGAAGATATGTTGGATTAAGTTCATTAATTCTCTTAAGAACACCCGACCGTGTTTCTATCAAAATATCATGTTCACCCAACGTTGGATCCAAATCACCAACAATAACAGTAGCAACCTCAGACACTGTTGGAAGATTATATGTTCTCGCATCTTGGGTGCGTTTCCCAATTAACTTCATTCTAACATCAACTCTTGGATTTGCAAGTATCACTTCTCTAGCCATCCGAAATGACTTTACCAAAACATTATTCTCATCTAATGCTAATTGGATATCAGAGACAATATCTGCATGTAATTCGTTGATCTCATTACCAACCCTACAATAAAGAAAGAATACCAATTAATCACATCACATTACATTCCTATAAATAAAAAAGAAACAATTAACAATAGCCAGCAACATACCTAACACAATCAAGTCTATTGAAAATCTCATTCTCAGGATCATGGATGTAAAGTTGTGCAAATTTAGGTTTATTACCATCAACAGGTAACAAACTTCCCAACAAATGGAAATTTTGACCATTTAATCTGAAAACGGGAGGTGATTTTCCTGTATTAACATCTTTGTCAATACGACCTCCCATAGATGTGAAGCTAAACATGTTATTGTACGACCTTATATGTTGCAAAAAATGCTTGCTTCTTGTAGATGGATTGAAAAATAATTCAAGAATAGTTTTAGGCGGAACATTCAATTTCGGTAACTTAATTTTGCCATTAGAACAACACCCTGAATATCTTGGAGAAGTAGTAAGCTTCACATTCTTCACTTTCTCATCCCGCCAGAAGATTGCCGAACAATGTTTACAATTAAAAATCGGATCTCCCAGGTCATAATACGGTACTACAATAAAACCAAAACATATGTCATTACAGAAAACAATTGAATGAAAAAATAAAATTAATAAAGCATAATTTTTAAATCCTTAACAAACAATCTCACCTTGATTAGGAAAACACGAATCTCGAGTAGCCGTAAATAACACATTAAAGTTCACTTGATCTCCTAAAAATTTAAAGAAAAAAAGAAAGATACATAAACAAATAAATACAGAAAATATTAACAATTTTCAGTATTTAAATTATACATATTAGACCACGTAATAGATATAGATAATGGTTTATAATAACACAAACAAAGCAACACCTATCATCATTGCACCCAATTTGTCATATTCAATGGTAGAATAACAATTGACAGTACTTGAGCTGTTTGCAACATCGGACACAACAGGAGATCCGAACTCAACACCCTTGGATTGCATATTATCGATTTTTTAAGTATTAATACGGATTGAAAATACCAGGACTATGTGGTCTAATGGTACCCGGGTTGGACTTTCATTTAGAAGATTATGAGTTTGAGCCTCAATGGAGGTGTTATTGGTTCTTTGTGTTTTAGTAGGTTGAGAAAGTATAGGAACAGATACTACAATGTAATAGAGTCAGTAACTTTCAAAAAAAATACGGATTGAAAATTTTTATTCAATTTATTAATAGCATTTAAAAATAAAACACATTATGTTATATATACAGCAATATATTTTAAAAAAACATTTATTAATTTATTAAATTTATTAAATACTTATATATACTATTTATTTTTATAGAAACAAAGAAATTTATACAAATGAAAAAAAAAAATATCGATACCAACAAAATAATTTTTTTTTCATTATTCATATGATGAGAATTAATGCAATCATTATTGTATGGACCATGGTCCACACAAGTTGTGTGGACTATATTTTGTCTACTGTAAAATAATGTACATTCAGTACAAAAATAATGTACATTCAGTACAAAAATAATGCACATTGTATACATGGGATGTACATTATTTTTGTTCTGAGTGTACATTATATTGTATAATGTACATTCAATACAAAAATAATGTACATTTAGTATATTAAAAATGTACTTTTTGTTATGGTCCACATAACATTGTGTGGACCATGGTCCACACAATAATTTGCCGGATTAATGACACTTGTTCCATTAATTATATTAAGTATATTATAAATATGGGCTAACCATAGCCCAACCACAAACTCTAGCCTAATTATAACCCAAATATAAACTCTAGCCTATCAAAGCCCAACCCAAAACCCAAGCCAGAACAAAACACCCTAAACAACTAAACAGTTAGACCATTTTGCCGCTACCCTATCTTCTCGGCTGCGCATATCTTCTTCTCTACACTGTGTCTACTGTTTTTGGAAACTACACCATCCACACATCGCCATTATTTCTTAAGCTATCGCCTCTAGCTCGATGTCATTTTCTAGCCATCTCCATGTTCAAACATCACCTTTACAAAACTATGTAGTCCAATCGGAACTACTAACCAGTTACACCCAACAAAACCCTAAGACTACCTATTCTTTGTAAATCGATTTTGGAAATTTAACGACATACACATCTATGAACCATTCTTTTTCTATCTCGAACTGCCGTTCTACCAATCTCCTTCTCTAACCTATTCTCTATATCTTTCGATGTATTCGATTCACAAATCTAGACTAATTACACCAAAGAAAAGTGTAATCTTGTGTTCAGCGTTTTCAATTCTACTAAACACCACTCAACAGATGGATTGGAACAAATGTTCATATGTTAAATCTAAAAGAAAATCAGCAACCGCGACTACCACATCTATAAGGTAAAAACTTATACTTTACTAATTTTGAAGTTAATAATTTATATTTTTTGGTACAAAGACATCTATTATGCAATTTTACCAAAATTAGAAGCATGCATTTTTTTTTTTTTTTTGTATTTATAAAAATGAAATACTCAGCTCAAATTGATTAATTTTCGTAAAATCTTTGTTCTCTTTAATTTTCAGTTTAATAGCTGCGTTTTTATATTAGATATGTTCTATGCATGAATATTGTTGGAAATTGTGGAAAAATAGTATTAAGATTAGTGTTGCTGTACAATTCAATAATTTAGTTTGAAATTGATTAGTAATACTGAAATTGATTAATTTAGTTTTTTTGAGAGTTCTTTCCACTTCACATGCCATCAAAAGCATAATTTCAGTTTACCCTTCTGCTTAAAAAAATGAGTTCATTCCTAAAAAAGTTCAATTTAAATCATATTCACATGTTATTAAGTAATACTATTTTTAAATCATTGTATCAACCAATTTTATATACAAAACATGTCAACAAATATATTAGTAGTGTTTTGATTTTTTTAATGACCTCAATAATATTCATTTGCAGGTGTACAGGAAAGTGTTGCATTTACACTCTCTCAATACACTGACAAAAAAAGAAGAGACATAGGGAACCAAATTGGTGCAGATATAGTAGACAAATGGAAAGCAAAGAAGATGAGTATTGCAAACCAAAAAAGTAAGTTAACATTTGTTACAATTTTAATGAAGAACAACATTTATGTTTCATTTTTACCTTTGTCTTCAACATCAAGCTTTCTTTTTCCACGAATGATAGTTGAGCTAGTCAATTTTTTCATTGTTGCAATTGCTAGCTAAAAACTTTCAGAAGTTCTCTTTTGGAATGAATATATAGTGTACATGTTGCATTCTTAAATGAAGTATATATAGAGATACCAAGTAGTACACATGCTAAGAAGTCTCAATCAAACATTAGTATATAATAGTCAACACTTACCATCCACATTAAATGCTTAGGTATATGTATAGGTGTATGGGAAAAAGTATTCCTAAATGTATGTCTTGGGTATTGTGTAATTTGTACCATGACATTGTCAATTTGTTTCTCACTTCTCAAATTGCAGTCCACACTTACCATTCACATTAAATGCTTAGGTATAGGTATAGGTGTATGAGAAAAGTATTCCTACATTTATGTCTTGAGTATGTGTAATTTGTACCATCGCATTGTCAATTTGCTTCTCACTTCTCAAATTGCTATCTGTTGCCATATATATATATATATATATATATATATATATATATATATATATATATATATATATATATATATATATATATTTATAATTTTGTTGCTATAATAGGATTTGTGGAAAAATATAATTATTTGCAATATATATGCAATTGATATCGTCCTTTTTCTCAAAAATCAACCTGCTAATCTGCTTTGTCTTTTTTTTTTCCTTTTTAAAAATTATTTACCAGGGCATGTCTGAATTTGTTTGTCATTTCTCAATTCTCAGTATGATGCCACTCTTTTAAAAAAAAATGTTCATACATGATGTTTGTGAAATAATAGATTTATTTGCAATACATATGCAAGTCCTTTACCTCAAATATGAGCCTGCTAATATATGATATAACTGCTTCTTTTTTTTTTTTTTTTGGTATATTAAAGTTTGTTTAATAATATGTTAATTTGGAATAGATAAGTAATTGAAATACTTTCTATACATATATATGAACAAATACTAACAATCTAAAATCAAAGGCAAGTGATGATAAAGGAGTCTGATGCTTCATTTTTTTTAGTTGCTATAATTGAGTTTGTAAAATAACATATTTATCTGGAATACATGTGCATGGAGATCCTTTTCTTTAATGATCAGCCTGCTAATCTATTAATTTTATTTTATTTTTGCCCTTTTTGTATATGATTTACCATGGGCACTATCAATTTCTTTGTCATTTCTCAAATATTAATCTTTTGATACTTTTTTTTTAATGGGTTCCTATTATTTCACTTAAGGAATAATATATTTCTTTATAATAAATATGCAAGTGATATGCATTTACTCAAAAATCAACCTCCTAATTTGCTATACCTTTTGTAATTTCCCCTTTCTTTTTTATCTCATTTACCAGGAAACTATCAGTATGCTGCAATTTTTTTGGGCTTGCTATAATAGACTTTGTGAAATTATAGATTAATATGATTTAATTTGTTGCTATAATATGCTCTAACTGTTTTTTCCTTTTTTTTTTTTAATGATTTGGATTTCTATATTATATATTATACTTTGATTAATAATAGGTTTATTTGTAATATTTCGGTAAGCAATATATACTTATACTTGAACAGAATAAGAACCAAAACCCATTAGTGGTTGGTTTGCAATTAGAGCAACCTGTCATTACATTTAAAATAGATTAGCAACTGCAACATATGCAGTTTTACACACATTGCCTTCCAAAACACACACTACATACATTGTACTGCTTACCAGTACATTGAAACACCTGCAGTGTTCAAAAAACAAACCCATAGGCAAAAACACACTACACACAATCCACTGGCTAACAGTACATTGCAAAAAACTGTAGTTTTCTAGGCATAACCATCAGTTTGGTAGAATTTAGCACACAAAACCCACTTACCAGCTTAGTATTAGTACAACCTATTTCTAAATAAAGAAATTTCCATTACTTTGCTTGCTTCACCACAACCTCCTTAGCTTTCTTTATGCTACCAGACATACCAAACTCTTTCAGCAGAGATCTCTTAAGAGGAACACCCACATGTTCACTTTCCAAATCAACAACACCCTTATCCTTAGTTTTGTTAGAACCACCAGCAGTAACCAAATCTTTGATGATAGATCCCTTAACAGCATCAGCAACATGCTCATCCCCTAAATCTTCAGAAATGTCATCCAAACCAACAGTGATATCATCTTCCACACCATCAGAGACATCCTCCACTCCAAAAAACTCCTCTTCATCACTGCCAAACTGTTGCTGCATAAAAATAGTTCTGACCAGTCAATAACCTACTTAGAACCACTTATAAACCCAAAAATAGAATAATAAGTATACCTCAGAGTTACATCCAACATCCAAAGAACCTCCGACATGACCTGTAACTTCAGCAGAAGGGGCACCTAGAAAACCTGAGCAGTGTTGTGTAACTAATGACTCATCCCTGCAAATCCTTAGAACCGTAAAGGCAGAATAGTAGCTCTCCACCTGTTCCTTCTTCATAACAATACGGAAAACCATAGACATCCCACGCAAGCGACCAAGTTCAGGTGGAATACAATTATTTCCCTAGAAATATTGGAGAACAGATAAGGCATCAAAAACCAACCACTAAACACCCAATAAAGAAGTGAAATAGTATAGTATACCTCAGGGTACTTAGCCTTTAACTCAGCCGCTGACATACCAACAAAATCTGCACATTCACGATCCCATATAAGCATAGGGGCATCTCCAGTGTGGTCCGCCACACGGACAATCAACCTATACCTCACAATTCCTTCATGCCAAGAATTCTTACACCCACCACAGTACATCATGCCACCTTGTTCAGCAAGCTTCTTCTTGCAAGAATTAGTCTTGCAAGAAATGAAATACCAATCACTTAGGGGTCGTTTACCAAAATGGAAAAATAGAGAATTTTCTGGAAAAACAGAGAATTGGAGAGGTGGAAGAATGGAAAATGGAAAACGGAAAACTTGTTTACCAAAATTCTCTTTCCAAATTCTTATTCCATCTCCATTCTCAACTTTTCTTAAGGAATTTGGAGAAATAAAAAACCAACTTCTCCAAATGGAGAAATGGATAAGCACGCGTGAACAGTGCTTGAGGTCGTAGGATCGAATTCGCGCGAAGCCAATTTGACGCCTCTCTCTTCAGTCTTCAAATCTGACGCGTGCCTCTTCATTGCTAGCTTGTTCCTTCATTAAATTTTTTTTTTAGAGATTATTATTATTATTATTACCAACGCCACCCCCCTCTTCAAAGCCAGCTTCTTCTTCTTCTTCTTTTATTTTATTATTATTATTATTATTATTATTATTATTATTATTATTATTATTATTATTATTATTATTATTATTATTATTATTATTATTACCAACGCCACCCCCCTCTTCAAAGCCAGCTTCTTCTTCTTCTTTTATTATTATTATTATTATTATTATTATTATTATTATTATTATTATTATTACCAACGCCACCCCCCTCTTCAAAGCCAGCTTCTTCTTCTTCTTTTATTTTATTTTATTATTATTATTATTATTATTATTATTATTATTATTATTATTATTATTATTATTATTATTATTATTATTATTATTATTATTATTATTATTATTATTATTATTATTATTATTATTATCTTTGTTGTATAAATGTACAAAATTATATGGTCCATATGGGATGATTTTATTTAATGAAATTTGAAAATTAGAGAAATAAAAAACTGGAGGAATAGGGAATGAAAATTATAAAATTGGAGAAATGGAAAACTGGAAGAATGGAGAAAGAAAACTGGAAAAATGGAGAAATGGAAAACTGGAAATGGAAAAACAGAGAAATGAAGTAAACGACCCCTTATACTCTCTACGCCAACAATTCTGCCTGCAACCCAATACTCCCCCAACTGGTGCACAAAAAAAAAAAAAAAATCTAGGTCATCTCTTTTATGCTTAGAATTTATAAGTATATAGAAAACAAAAAAAAAAATTAGTAGACAAACAGAAATAATTATCAAACATTGTAGCATATTAACCTGTTTTTTTAAGTAAATATCTTCAATAGGAGTAACCAAAATATCATTAGGATGCATGCCATTAGTAGGGAAACCAACATCAAGCCTAGAACCAGATTCTATACACCTCAAAGGGGTGTAGTCACCTGTAAAGCTATTAAAAATAAAAACGTAAATACTTTCACATCCATTTTGATTTAAAAAGTTGAACAAACACCATAAAATAGAAACACACCTTTTCTTGAAGTCACAGAACTCCTTAGACGAATGAGTAAAAAATAGTTGGGTAGCATCAAAGGAGCTGCAAATACGAACCTCGCCATCAAACCAGAAAAAAATTTGCTCATTACGAGATAAGATATTATTTGAAATAGAAAGCACACCCATCATGGATTAAAACTTACTGTCCATAAACTTGGCCCTACAAAGTTGGATGAGAAGTATAACTGGATCAGATGCAGCAATTTGGAAATAAGGAGTTAGTTGATCCACATGCTCATCCCATAATGTACACTTAATCTGATTTTTACTGCATGAAAACAGAAACCAATTTAAATACCCAACAGAATTAATAATAAGATTTACATCAGCATAGCCAAGTCAAAAAAAAAAAAATTACTCATTGTCTTCAAGAACAAAGTCAATAAGCCTTGTTTGTTTTCCAGCAATCACTTTGTCTAGTGGTGTATAAATTTCAACAACTCGGTCAATCACATCTACCATAAAATAACAGCAGAATATTAGTTTTGATGGCTATGGTTGAAAACATAATCAAAGTAGCATTCCTTCATTTGAGTATTATATATGTATGCATCCAGTTAAACTCTTACCTATCAACACTTTCTCATCAACATCCTCTTCTTTGAAAGTATGTCCGGGAAACTCTTAAACCGGAACATTGTTTTAGGGAAATTCACACGCTGATATTGCTTCACAACAGTGTCATGTTTGAATTTGATCATATAACGATGTGTGCTTGTTTTATACTTGAAAAAGTTAGTGATACATAGGAAATTTCGAATACCATAGATTTTACCCTCCTTGAACATATTCTAGTATGTTGCGACAATATCCTTAGGTATGTGAAAATGAATAAAAATACCCTATATTCAAGACACAAAGAAAATATCATAAGTACTTATAAATAGTTAGCAATAGACAATAAAATTAGAAGATAGTAATCTAGGAATAGCACACCTCTTGATCATGAAACACACACTCTTGACTTCTAATTTGTTTTTGTCCTCTGTTTTCAGTGACAACATAGCTCCGCACACAACGCAATCTAATGGCCTTAGAAGTCTGTTGCGGGTGAAGCTGGGCACCAACTATGAACTGCCCAGTCATGTTGGTTTTTGAAAGCTGAAAGTTGTAATATTTTGCTTCGTTTTGTGGTAGCACAGATGAAAGAAAGTTGTAATATTTTGCTTTGCTTTGAGGCCTGAATGTGTAGCTATATATAACCAGCAAACTTAGAGTCGGACAATTGCAAAAATATTAAAATATTACCTATGCACTGCAATTTACATCACTCCCATACCCATTAGACTTAAACCACACGTTTCCTATCTAGAAACCCATTAGAATACTAACTCCACAATAGCCCACACCCCTAAACAGCAGGCCTAAAATCATACGGCAATACCAAATTAGTAAATTAAAATTTTCAAATAGGCGGGAAATTGAATGGATTTGAAAAAAAAAAAAAAAAAAAAAAAAAACCTAAACGGTGTCGTGTAATTTAGGCGGGAAAATGGAAGGATTTGATTGGCCAAAATCCTATGGCCTTTATATGTATATAGATAATATTATCAACTGGGTTATGGAGAGTGATTTTGAATCAATTTAGTAATCTTGGAAAACATGTTTGCTAGGCAATTGACTATTGCCATTAATTCCATAATTCATTTAGTTCTTGGAACTATGATTTTAGTTAGGATTGCCCATGTTTGGTTAAGTATGAATATTTGGTATAAATTCATATTCTTTAGTTTGTTTATACTTTCTAGATTGTTTTATGCATTCGATCACATTAAGTGCATAATATTAAGTTTAATTATGCAATTAGGGTTTGTGAGATTTTGATTTACAAATTATAGCATATCCTTTTGATGTGATATTGTTTGAATTTGTGAATTCAGTTATTTCTCATGAATTTGATCTTCATGCATTAAAACATTTTACCATGGTCTTATAGTTTAAAAATTTTAAAGTATATATTCAGTACATTATTATTCAAAATGTTGGGTCTCGTTTGGTTTGGACTCATTGGTTTTTGAATATTAAGTTTATACTTTAAAATCTCATATTTTAAAATTGCTTTAAGTTATGCAATTTATTTCGAATATATGAGTTTAATGTTTAATTTTATGCATATTCGTCCTAAGCATAATATTATGTTTTAAATTATGCAATTTTATTATGCCTTTAGCAATGCATACTTTGAGATGGAATTATATTAGTTCCTATTTAAGTTGGACTTACGCATAAACTTTAGTCGCAGTAGTGCCTGAATTTAAGCACGTTTAGTCCGCTAATTTAGTTCACCATTTAAGCTTTAATCATAGGTGAACCCTACAGTTTTCTGGTGTATACCCTACAGTTTTAGGTTCATACCCCCAAACAGTTATACATTAAGTATATATGAATCGGGGAGACATACTAGTTTTAATGGCCATGAGTTAAAAACATCTTGAGCCACTAGTCTCCTTAAATTGATACTCTATTTAAGAAATTGGTTTTCAGTGAGACTTAGTCTCTAACCGCCTTTCCTTGGAGTATATTCAGATTTTCCCATCACAATCTGGTATAATCTATTTGCCAAAATTTTAAGCATTCCTTGCCAATGTGATTTTATTTTGGTTCATTAAAGAATAGCCAAAGCATCTTTAATTTACTGAAATATCTTGAGTTTTCAATCTTGGTTAATTAAGGAAATGCTACAGCACATTCAGCTACCTAAGATTGTTAAGTTTCAATCACATAAAGTTTAGGCAAAGAATTGATAATTGTCTAGTGATCCTATAATTTTAATTTGGTTTGGGAATAGCCACAGCATCCTTAATCTGTTAAAATTATATATTAAGCGGTTTATTTTGATCACATAGAGTTTTGGACATATCATTTGTGATTAATTGTATGTAATATGATGAAATTTAGCCCACAGGAAATTTCGTTATATTTGTATAATTAATCAGGATGAAATACTGGACTACGGTCATAATTTAGCCCACAGGCAATTATGTATCGGAATGTAGTTTAGTAGTTTTATCAGTGACGATAGAAATAAATCAATTTATTTACTTTATGGTTATTTGTAAATAATTTTCAATTCTATCATGAAGTTTAATTTTATGATGTAAACTTTAGATCATATTTCTTAATCTGCCCACAGGGATTAAGAAAAGGAACATGATTTATTAAGTTTTATCATAATGGTTGTAATGAATCTTATTGAAAAAAACTTTAGCTTATAGACAAGTTTTATGTCATTTGATTCTTCAACTCATTTGATAATAGTTTCATCATAAATAAAAGTTTTCAGTTGGATCTAATTGAGTAAAACTTTAGTCCACAGGCAAGTTTTATGTCACTAGATTCTTCTGCCTCTTTAGTAATTGTGAAAAATATTATCATAAGGGTTTCTTAATTGGATTCAATAGAATTAAAACTTTAGCCCACAGGCAAGTTTTATGTCAATAAATCCCTCAACCCTATTAGATAATAATTTTATCACAATTCTTAGAATTTATAAATTTAGTTCAATTATAATTCTAAGTTTCATGCTTTGCATTGGCAAAACATGTTTTTCAGTCACTTCCCAAAATTTAGTCACTTCTATTAATTAATTCACGAATCTTGCTCGGTTCTTCGGACTAACTGTAGTAAGTTACGTGATTTGACATACCTCTTGGATTCCAATAATGTTAAAATGTATCTTTTGAGCCAAATTCTAACTTGGTTTTGAAAGATGTATTTTGTTTTATTTTATTATGTCCAACTATGGTGGGGAAACATATCTTCATTATTTAGTTGGACTTTAATTGGAACCAAAAATTGATTATTTAGTATGTCCAACTAATGGTGGGGAATTATGTCTTCATTTGTTAGTTGGTCAATAAATCAATTATGAGTATGTATATTATTAAGTTCACTTTATTAATTTCGCTGAAAAATATTTTAATCAGTGGGAGTGATCATTTCGAAAAAGATCGTTAAGTTACTCCACTAAAGATTTTGGATTTAATTATTGTATTCATACATTTCAAATTGGATTGTATGTTAAACAATAAGTCCATAATATTCCACAAGTATTAATCTTGTATTTGTTCATATAAATTCATAAGTTCAAATTATTGAACATTTGGTTGTACAACATATTTATGAAAATGTTGCAACAATATTAAGGAATTTATTAGAACAAAAGCATTTAACTTGTGGTGCACTGTAATTTAATAAATTCTTCAGTGATTAATAGAGTCTTTAGTTTCTTCAAAATTAATCTTGGGCCATTTTGGTTTGTAGGGCTCAAAACAATTTTGTGGGACATATAAGTAAGACTCATTATGTTCAGTTCATTTAAAATGAACATCGAAGTTATTTGGGAAGTTATGGTGTATGATTAAGATTCCAAATTTATGGACTTAGTCGTTTGGTTTATTGTCTAAGTTTTTGGAATGTTTCTGTGACTTGACTATCTTTTGGCTATTTTTGATGAGTGGGAGTGACAGACACTCCAAGCTCTTAGTTGTTAGAGATAATACTTAAAGTTAACTTATAAAGAAGTCATAGAATATAGTTAGCATTATGCTAACATTAAGAGATCTCTACTTAAGGCATGCTTATAAAGTTTTAGAGATCATACAGTGTACTCTTTTGTACAATTTGGATGCGTTTTCTCCTTCAGTTGTGCACATAATGTATTTTGAGAAACATCCCTTAAGGTACCAAGAATAAACATAGGGTTTGTTCATTAAGGACCTAAGTTGGAGAATTAAAATGCATGTGACCATAATGGATATCACTCAGATTAAATAGAGGACATATCACTATTATTCGTGTGTTTTGTTCTATGATGATGGTTGTGCTAGTACTTGCACCAAGTGGGAGAATGTAAGATTTTCCCTAATAATATATATTATATATTATATATTATATATTAGGGCCTTAATTAAGTGGTGCAAGTTAACTAGGCTTATTAAGTGGTCTGGTTGGACTTAATAACTAGTAGTTGTTAGTCAACCAAACTCTGTGCCAAATATAAACCTGGATTGATGGGATACAGGTTTATGGATTAGTTAGCACATTCAGTTATGGTACTCAGACTGCTAAGTAGATACCAATACACCATCTAGGGTTCTGAGTCAGGTCTGAGGCAAAACATAGCTAACGGTCTACCGTTGAGGCAACACAACAGGAACATCAACTATGGCTGGAGATCAACACGGCTACGCTTCCGCTATCATACGAGGTCAGGTTTCTCGTATACTATGGTTTATTATAGTTAGACTATTGTATATCTAACAGGAACAACACTGGAGCACACCGGTAAGTGCATTCACATGTCAACGTCTGTGCATATACAGAAGAATGGGTTTTTTCCCCCGGTGGGGGTGGGAGGGGGGTGTGGTTGTTGGACGAAGTAGTAGTCCATTGACATGCGTAGCGTGTTCGTGTTCAGGTGGGTGCGTACAGGGTTATTTGTTTGACCGATAGGATGACGGGATGATGCGTAGACAACAAATAGTATGTGCGTACACATCCCATCCATTTGTTAATTTGTAATGGATGGATGAGATTGAATGAGGAATATAATGTAAATAAGGACATATTTTAAATAGGTGGGTTTGGATTGTAACACGGGTAGGTGATGCTGTTTTGGATTGTAAATTGATTTTGAACGTCGGTTTGTGCATTGTGGACCTACGCGTGTGCGTACGAAACATTTAACGCATTTGTTATTGTGTTTTGTTGATGTGTTTTGAACAATTAATATGTAATGGGAACAAGAAGCAATTGGGGTTTTTTTTTTTTATTTTTATTAAAAAGAAGAATGCAAAAGCAGTTGGGTAATGGGTAGACTATTGGTGTGTGCGTGCGTTTAAATTGGCATGTGCATGTTGTAGATTAAGGGGGTTTGGAATTTGTTTGTTTTTCATTTTGTATCCAAAATAATTATTATAAAGGGATGTGCGTGTAATGATATTGTTAGTGCATTTTGAATGAATTAGACGGTATAGGTATTATTTGGTTGGTCTGCTATGAAACGTATTTTTTATAGACACTAGTGTGTGCGTGTATCTTGGTAGGTTTGTGCACCGTATTGAACATTTAAATAACACACTGCATTACATTACAAAAAGGGTCGGGGTAGTCATATTAAGGGCATTTGGGTGGATACATGGTAGTATGTATGCTTGTGCAAGATGTAAGAAGCGGTAAACATGGAAGAAGCTATCCAAAACCATGACTGTATTATGGATGAATCACAA